AGGTCTAGATCCCGACCCAGGTGGAGCATCAGGCCAGCTTGTGCAGCCCGAGTTGTGTCGCACACTGTGGGCAGGGGGCCGAGGGGCACTCCAGCCTGTGCACCTCACACGCCAGGAGGAATCCTCCCAAATAACGGGGAGCAGATGTTCGAAATGCCTACTTGCAGGACAGGAGAGAAACCACTCTTCTCTCTGCTGGTCCAGTTGTGTTTTGTTTTGTTCTCATGGAAGAGCCACACTGTCTCCTTATTTTCAGTCCTCTCCATATTTCACATGACCTGTTTCCCTGATGAGATTAAAATCTCTCTGTGCTTAGGTATTTTACACACCACTACCTTGCATCTCCCATTGCACCTTAAAGACAGGCTTACAGCACATATTTTCAAACTGCTGATGAGCCCTAGGGTACCCCAGGGACCACAGTCAGCTCTTCAGAACCCACGTGTGGATTCTCCTTAGCCAGTTTATCATAAGTTTGATTTTTTCCTTCCAGCCCAGAATGATATTAACGACTCTACGCTCACCATCAGTTGGGGATGAACAGGAGGCGTCTGCCCCTTTCAACATCAGCCTAATTCAGAAGAGGGGCTGTGAGTGGCTGGAGATGGATGGGCTCTGTCGGTGGAGGACCTGGGGCCAAGTTGTAGCTTTAGCCTTGTCCATACACCTCTATTAATATCGCTTCATTGGGAAGTTCAAAATGGGACTCTTTGGTTTTCGAATGTTAGGGGTGCCTGAGAAGAGATGTTTGATTGCCAATGGCATAAGGAATCAAACAAAAGAAAGGCTGAGCAAGCTTTGGAAAGGACAGGAAGACCTCCATTGCCGAGCTTCCTGGGCACCACGTTTAGACAATTCAGTTCCAGTGCTCCTCTGTGCCTGACGTTGAACTCCAGAGCCCAGTTCTGTGGTAATGGAGGCTGAATGGCCTGGCAAGAGCTGTCCGCCTGGGGGACACCATGACTAAAGGTTGTACCAGGAACCCCTGAAATGTGAGGACTGCAGTTCTCCCAACAGAAATGCAGTGTGATTATCCAAAAATGGGGAGTTTGGATAGGCCTGGAAAGCAAAGCCCCAGGCTGGCAAGCATGTTCGGGGAAGCTACAGAGAAGTGAGGGAATGTGTGATGGCTGAGGGGGTCCCCGGACAGGATCCTGAGCAACAGCAGAAGGATTAGACAGATGGAGGGACACCTCTCTATAGTCATGGCTGGAGTGAGGAGGAAAAATGAGGTGAGGATGTGGGGGAGTTTGCGACTGTGCTCAAAAAAGGTCCAGAGAGGAGGCCCAATGGATGGTTTTCCAAGTGATCTATTGAATGGGGGAAAAGAGATCCAGTCAGGATGAGAGGCAAGTGGATCAGGAGTCTGGAGATGCAGGAGATAATTTCTCAGTTATTTTCCCGTGCTTTTCAAGACTTTGTGTTTCTGAGTCTAATGCTCTTAGCACACGGGCGCACAGTTATAACTCACATTAGCCACCTCTGACCTTTTTCTCTCCTTGACTGAGTCAGTTTTTCCTCTGGTTCCTGCAGCTCTTTGCAGACGTTGCTCTCATGGCTGTGACCGTATTCATTACCCAGGTGTTGAGAATGCACAGGAAGGTGGTGAAGTCCAATCAGCTTGGTCTTAACTGCTGAGGCTCCCACACACATCCCGGGGTCTTTCCACATTGGACTCAAACATGGTTTGATTAGGACCTTCAGGTGCTTGTTAAATGGCACGAGAGCAGAGAGCTAAATCCCCTTTTCTCTGGTGTAGTGTTGGGCGGGGCATGTGTGAGGGGGATGCTTGCAAATAAAGCTGCCCATGGTCCTGACCTACACCTGAGCGAGTATGCATCGTGCCTCTCAGGCTCACACATCCTCCAAGGAAGGACTGCGTACAGTGTGCTCTGAGTGGGTCCTCCTAGCTCAGAATAAGAGCCTTCATTCTGAGGTCTCCAGAATGGTTCCTGTGGTTGGAGAACGACAGCCACCCTTCTGTTTTCTCCATGCCCTAATCAAATGTATGTGCTTTGTAACTTCTAAGTGAATGCAACGTAAGTGTCCATATATGCATTGCCACTAGAACAAACACCTACCACCAAAGTTGGGTCAAGGTTTCTTAGGGATCACAAGAAAAAAGTATCTTCTTTGAACTGAACTGTTGAATTTTAGGAGTCAGTGTGAGATAAGTAACCTTGGAGACTTACGGTTAGTTCTTTAAAACAGTGCACTTCAGATGAACCCCCACACTAACAATATGTGAAATATCCCCATTTACAAAATGGGACTCGGGGGTAGAGAGTAAGATAAATAAAACCTATCATGGTAAAACTTCCTTTAATGAAATCCACCAGTGGATTTAAAATATTCTATCAAAATCTAAAATACACATAATTTTAACACAATTCCACATGCTAGGTGACGTAGGTATAAGGGTATTCCTAACAGCTTTTTTCTAACTGCGAGATACTGTCCTTCCATTGAGTAGTGATTAAATTATTGGCATAACAGAATGTTATGCAGCCTTTAAGAGAATGGAGGAGTTGTGACATGGAAAGATCTCCAAGATGCAGTGAATGTAAAATCAAGGTGAAGAAGTGTGAAGAATATGCCATCATTCCTGTTTGGAAAACTACATAAGCAGTTATATTTGTAAATACATGGAGCAGTTCGAAAAGATATGCCAACAGGTTCTCCTGTTCACCTGCAATGACAAATAGGTGGCTGGGAGGAAGGAAGATGGTGACTTTTTTTTTTTTAAATCTCAAGTGTGGGTATTACCCACTCAAATTTTATTACACAGCCCCTCCTAATTAAAAATGCTTTTGTATCAATTGTGATACACCAATATTGAAAATGATTTTTGTCAAGTCACTCAATTTCTAGAATATCCCAACCCAGATTTTTTTCTCACAATTAAAATTTTGGGTTTTGTTACCATTTCACCGTATGATACTGGGCGAGTCGACCACCTACATGGACTCAGGCTCTTCATTTGAAAATTGATGGCCTTAGACTACAGATGACTTCCAAAATTCCTTCTGGCCTAAGATGCTGTGGTTATAGGATTTGATTATGCAGTATTTGGGGGAAAAACAATAAATTGGCAAAGAGAATGAGTGTGTGTTAGCGAGTTTTAAACGGTGATGCAGCAGAAGTAACTGTCTTCAAATGTTTGTATAAACTGTAAATTACCTTTCATTTCTACTCCGTTCATCTTTGAAATACCAAGGAACAACAAAAGAGGCATAGTCAACTGAAGAAATTTATTTTTTTCTAGGTACATAGATGACATAATTATAGACAAGTTTTGATACACAGGAAAACCCTTCTGTCCACCTTTCTCTTTGCTAAGTGAATCATCACAATAATTTTTACAATTTTTAAAACAATACACAGCTTTCCTGGGCTGAAGCAATCGCAAGGACATATTGGGACTGGTATATTACAGCTACTTACAATGTTTAAGAACAGCAATGGAGAAAAATAAGTTATTTAAATATTGATTTCATATACAGAAAGTGCAATGTTGTTAGTTGTTATATAACTTGACAGTTTGTTTTCTCTATCGATTTAAAATCAAGATAACTCGAACTCAGACTACTATATTTTCTGGAAATAATACAGTACACACATGCAGCACTGACTTGGTGAACGGATTTCTCTTGCTGCAGTCATGAAAGCAAATTTTGCTATGTCAGGAACTGGTTTGCAATAGACTAGTAATTTCCAATTTCACCCACACCAGGGATCAGGACAGAGAAAAGGGCTGCTAAGGGAAGGCCATGAAAATCCATCTGCTTCTTGGTTATCTGGGAATGTAAATAGTAGTTGGGGCTGGCTGCATTTTTTCTAGACAGCTTTAAAGTAAAAATTACACACAACGGATGTGTAGCTACCTGAGCCAAACTGCCTTTCTAGGTTTCTTTTGTGCTTTCCAAAGACTACACTTTTCACCCTTTCTCAACATTCTGTACCAAGTGCAACTGATTAAAACCGGATATTGCTGATGCCTAACACCTGTCTTCTGACAGGCAGCCCCTAAACCACCTTAGTCAAATGTCACACACACACAAACATTCAGACTTTTCTAGGATCAAATTAAAAGTTTAAAGCAAAAGAAGACCAAACAAATACTAACCATTTAAAAAAGTTTTTTTTGTTTTGTTTTTTTTTTGTGTGTTTTTTTGTTTTTGTTTTTAAAGCACAATAAAGTAAAAACCTCATCAGACCCCCTCCTATTAGGAAGATCTTCCCGCTGAAAATCATTCATGGTCCCTGAATTTGATTTTTCTATGCAAAGGTGATGACTTCCAAAGAAGAGTGACAAAAATATGGTTTGGCATTCTCAAAAAACTCAACTCCAGAACGTTCACCTTTTCTGGTGCCTCTTTTACTGAAATGGAAATCTTACACTGAAAATGAACTAACACTGGGAAATATCACGCAAGATTTCTCTTCTTCCTCTATTACTGAGATTTCGTGACTTGGGTATGGTCAGCTTAAACGATGAGCAGGATCACGGAAGGTCAGGCCAAGGCACTGGGCAGCTGGATGAGGAGCGCGTGTTCTCACACCCACGTCCGCCACAGCGTGAGACACACACCTCAGTGGCGTGGTCACAGGTAGCCCTGCGGCCAAGTTACATTCCGCGGGGGCTGTGTGCACAACCCAAGGTGGCAAAAATGGGCTGTTCTTAAGATTTCAGTAGAAAATTGGCAGCTTGAGCTTTTTATTCTGCATTTCCACAACTTCTTCACATGGCATCTTATAGAAGGTGAATATTATTGTTGAAGAGACATATATTTTTTAAATGTGTACCAAAGCATGAAAAAAATATATCACCTGAGAACATCCTTTACCTCAGAAACTTGGATCCAAGTACAGAGAGCAAATGCTGAAAATGGCTTTGTAAATGAAATCACTGCCCCCCCACCCCCCGAGGGAAATCGTTTTAATGAGTAGATGAAATGTTTAAGAGCTTTCGATCAAGGCTTTGTGTTCAAAGTGTTTCTATTGTAAATGATCACATTCAGTGCTTAAAATAGTTCTCATGATTAAGAATGTAAAGGAAACTCTTTTAGTAAGCAACAGAAACCTTTTTTAGTTGCCTAAATTTCTATGTGCTAGAAAAATCAGACACCAGACTAAAAGAGGATGGAAAACACTACAATCAGTTGGGAAACAATTGAAAATATGCAAATGTTAACTTAATACATGGCTAACGTGGTTTGTCTGGCTCCAAAATGAACTTTTATCCGAATTAAAAGAATTACCTCAATAAGGAAGGAGAACGATATCTGAATATTAAAAGTGGAAAAAAAAACCTTTTAAAATATCTTATAAACTGCTTCCCTTTTAAAAACATCTTTCTGAAATATTCAACCTTACAATGACTTTGCAAAGCTAATCTGTTAGCTGACGACTGAATTTTGGGATGGACGTGGTCAGGAGTCCAAGTCAATACTGCAGCACGATGACCAACGTGGTAAACAAAACTAAACTGATTAAAGTGAAGGTAGTTACTATACAAACGCGCGCGCGGGTACTCACCCACGCACATGCATGCACACTCACATACACACCTGATCTTGGAATTTCAGATAGCTTTTTACTGGATTTGTAGTTAGTGTAAAAACTGAAAGCCAACATGAACTTTGTGCCTGATAAACACCGCTACAAAATGAGCCATGTTAAAGTGAGGCAATTAGAAAAGCCCATTTTTGTTTCGTTTTGTTTTTGCTGAAAACATCTCACATGTTAGATGGCAGTCTAAGCTGAAGATTGGAAACTATGGTTACAGGGTAGTGAACACTAGGATAACTGCTTCAAAGCTTATATTAAGGCAAATAAAAGCTGATTGCTAGAAAGCAATTATTAAAATGTCTCTTGTTTACTTAAAGGAGAATAGGATTTTTTTTTTTTCCCTAGTGCAGCCAGATTTTCTTACTGTTGAACAAACAGGCATGGTCAATAGTGTACAATGAACTCCCGAGTCTGTCACTTTGGCCTAGCTAAAGCCCGTCTGGCCCTCAGGTATCCTGCAGGGTGACAGACGGAAGGGCAAGGGCGTTCTCAGACATGAAACCGGCTGCCCTCCCTCTGCTCCCAGCCCTCCCCCAGCGCACCAAGACAGACTGGAGGCGCAGCATGTGTGGCAAGTTGGCATCCTGGTTCTTCCGTGTTCTGAAAATAAAAATAAGTGCTTGTCTTTTCTTTGGGGGTCGAAGAGAACCACACCAATTTCCTCGAGGGGGCTTTTCTGGAGAAGCGAGGGTCATCAGTCCTGTGCCAAGGTTTCGTGCTCTGTGTGGCCATACACTAGGCCTTTCTTCTGGATCTGGTCTGCATGTCCCGAGGAGGAATTGCATTAGCATAAGCACAGTGAAAGAGTGGCTCTGGTCCAGAGAACTCCATTATGGGCCTGGCTACATGGCCTCGGGGCCTGGTGGCAGTTTGAAGAGTCTGGCTGCAGACACGAGCTTGCTTATGTGTCTCTCCTCCGTGATGCCGGCCTCCTGAAGGCAAGTGTGGGACAGAGAAGGCACTTGGCCCAGGGTGCTGAACCCGGCTTCAGTGAGGGTGCTGGTGTACATGGGCAGACCAATGGAGACCAGCCAGTCTGACACAGAAGAAACGCATCCGGGGGAGAGGGGCTTTCTACAGATTTCTGTGAGTCCACCACTTGGGATCTGGACAAACAAAGAAAGCAATTTTATAAAGACCTGACACAGGCTGCCAGAGGGCTCCTTCTATACCTAAAAGGAACATGACTCTAATCCGACCCTGCCAGACTATTAGAAAGTACTCGGGCCATGAGATGTCAAAGACCAAGAATTCTTTCTCAGCTTCTCAAAGGTGAGACATATCTTCAAGGAAGTTTTTCAGGTTCTAGAAAGTACTTGGAATTAGATCTAACCCTAATAATGTCCCCAAGTCTCCAAACTGTAAGCATTTCTAGATCCTGCTATTTTGTCTCCTGGTGACCTGCTCGTCAAGGAAATCCCTAGGTGCTTCAAGAGGCAGGCCTGTGTGGTAGTGTGCCAGGCAAGATACTCCGTGGTCAGAGTTTTTATAAAACAGATTTTCCACTGTATTTTGAATCTACATTAACCAGAAAATTAAATATTTCATCAATGTAGTTATAAAGAAATTAAAATACAGTAATACCAAGTGTTGGCTAGGGCAGGGAAATGGACATTTACACTCAACTTCTGAAAAGACCAAGTACTTCTCTTTCAGGAAGATAGTCTACTAACAAGTGTGCAAATCCCTTGAGATCTTGTGCAGGCTTGTGTAAGCAAACCCCCTTAAAGCAATATATACTCAGAAATTAACCTTGGGAGTCTATACAAAGATTTATTATATCCTTTACTACATTTTTTGAAATATTTAAATGCTTCAACAATATAGGATTGGCTAAATGAGGGTACATTTACTAGAGCATTTTGACATTGATAAGACAAATGAATGTTTAGTAACACATTCATGATCTGATCACTGAAAACGGGTTTCAAAACTGTACATTTATTGTATGTGCAGAGAAATGACTAGACAAGATTTTTAAAAAACTTTTTCATAGTGCTAGGATTATGGATCATTTTCATTTTTCCTTCTTTCCAAAACTGTATTTTTAAAACTTTGTAGGCTATGTATTCCTTTCCCTCCAGGTGTCTCCTTTTGATAGCAGCTGTGAGCCCAGGCCTACTTAGTGGTTGCCAGCATGCTCATCATTCGGTGCTCTAACTAAATGGACTCAAAAGCTGAGCTGGGGGTGGGGGGGACCCCAAGCACCCGTCGCTCACCGCCATGCGGTGCTGCTTCCGCAGTAGCTTCACGCGGATCTGGTCCATGTTGGTGGCGACGTCCCTCTCGGGCTGATCTAAGTCCTCGGCGTATCTCTGCACCAGGGCTTCAGGGATCCCACAGCGGCCGTGCTGCAGGGGAGAACAAAAACGCGGCATCAAGGAATGCAGGGAATTTTTTCTTCAACAACAGCAAACACAAGGTAGGATAAGGCACCGGTAGCTACTGGAAAGTATCATTTCATTTGAAGTGAATATATCTGTAGTCAGGATGGATGTTTTAGAGAGAATGTGTTTACACTTTGATCTTTCTGGTGCTGATGAGCTCTAGGAAAATGTTTTGAAACGTTAAGTAAAGCAGAACATAATCGTCTTGTATTATCTGAGCCAAGGACCTCACCTCACTCCAGCGGATCATCTTGCGGTCTCCTAAGCTGCAGGGGAGCAGGGCACACTTGCGCCCTACAGGGAGCCTACTGTTTGCACTGAATCTCTTTTACACCGCCAGGCCCGAGGCCAGCACTTATGTAGAGAACAGTTCTCACTACTTTCCATTCTGAGGGGTTTGTTCACTGAATATCAAGGAGGAGGAGCAAGGGGTGGAGGATCGTACTGTAAGGCATTTGTGGTCCAAAGAATTTTATAACCAGGTCTCCCAGGAATGCATTATCACAGAATACGCGTTTCTAGGAATAATGTACAGCTACATTTATTATCATTTGTCTTCAAAATCATTTTGGTATTGGTAGATCTACTCTCTCTTTTTTTTCTCAAATAAGCAATGAGTTTTCATTATATGAGTTTAAATGAGTTTTCGCAGTGTTTTTGGTACAGTGGGAGATCTCATAATCATTCCGTTACTCATACAGATAACCATATCATATAATTATGTCTGAAAGGGGTTCTGTAATTTCCAAAGTGTGTTCACATTTATTTGCTCCTAATAATACCTGCAGAAGGTAGTTATGCAGATTATTAATCCCATTTTACAAACAGGAAATGAAATGGGGATTTGTTAACATCTACAAACATACAGGTTCAATAAAACATGGAAACTGCAATTTAGGACTGTCCACTAAGCCGGCCCTTTCTGGAACCAATTGTAGTCCTGCTTGATAGCTCTCCCTGCAAAGTACGGCTGCCAAAAATTAAAAATAAACAAAAGAAGAGGGGGAAAAAAGGAGAAAGGAAAAGTCCAAGGCTGTATTTGTGTTTCATCTGGACGTGGCTCCCGTTCATCCCAGTGCCTGGCACCCGGCAGCAGAGGGCCCAGCTTGGCCCCCCCGCACCCCCCCCCCGTCAGCGGGGCCCCTGCAGCCAGGTGGGCTCCGTGGGGCCCCTGGGCGGCTCTTCTCACCTGGCTGCCTGACTTAAAGAAGCAGAGGCCCATAAGGCCTTTGGTACCTTATCCGAATATGGCTCCTCGGTGAGATCGATGCCTTCGGCTCGTAACTTGTTTTCTGTGAGCATCTCCAGATCCACTCCCCGAGCGCAGGAGATCTTCCTGGTCAGAGCCGGGCCCAGCTTCACGCCGTGCTCCTGGAGGCTTGTGCTCCCCGGGAGCTCAGAGAGCCAGGGCGGTGGTCTTGCGCTCGGGGGGCTGCCAGGCTCCTGTCCTGAGGGAGGCCTGGAAGCCGGAGGCGAGTGACAGTCACCGGGGCTGCCCCTCTTCATGGGCAGGCTTGGCGCGTCAGGGCCAGGAGGGCTAGGGTGGAGTCCGTTGGCCAGGCGCTCTCGGCTCTTCTTGGCGGGAACAGGCGGCGGCTGGGCAGGATGCTTTGCCTCTGCTCTTGCCTCGGGGCCCCTCTGCTCGGCATCTAGGCCTTCTTTGGTGCCCGGGGGGGAATATGTGCCCTCAAAATCGAGTCCTTTCCTGTGACCCTCCAGAGGCGTCCTTGTTAAAGTGTGTTTAACTCCAGGAGGCTGAGCATCGTAGTTTTTGGGCAAACACGGAGGAGGTGATGTGCCACGCGAAGAGGCTGCTATTGAGCCATCCGGTTTCTTAGTAGCTGTCTTCTGAGGTTCAGAACATCTCTTGCTTTGGGTCAGTAGCAGTGCATTGTCAACAGCAGGATCTCGTTTGGGGCTTTGAACCTTTGCGATGGAGGGCGTTGTCTTTTGTGGCACTTGTGGTACAGTCTGAGGGGAGGGGTCCGTCACCTTGCCAGGCACATCCTTCTCAGCAGCAGGCTCTCCTTGAAGGTCATCCAGGGAATGGGATCGGGGCCAAGTTTCCACAGTCTGGGGGCCCTCCAGCGTCTCACAGCTCCGACAGATGGAAACAGGGAGGCTTCTTCGGTTTTGGTTCAAACCAGTCCCCCATGGCTGCTCACAGCACTTGGAAGCGTGCGGGGTACGGCCACTGCCCAGCCTGGCCTCCTCCCCCTGCTTCAGTGCGTCAGCGGACTTCGTTAAAGGCAGGGTTGGGTAGTTGCCCAGCTCATTCCTGTTGAAAGACTTTAAGCTGGACTCCGCCGATGACTTGACAGAGAGAAGGCCAGGCTTCCGACTCTTGCCTGTGAGACAGGAAATATTTTACAGTCGTTTAAAAAAAAAAACAACAAATCAATCAAACTAATGTGTAAAGACGTGCTAACGTAACTGAAATCTCCAACTCCTGTGTCCCACTGTTGAATTATACTAAGGACAGGAAAGTCACCATTTATGGCATTGGGTGAGATAGGGTTATTATGGCCCCATTTTTATTTTTAGAAAGAATTCTCAGATTTATTAATGGACTCGTAGAGACTGAAATTGTCATGAGGAAAAGAAATAGGCTGTGTCAGGCAGTAAAATAAATCTAGGCCTAATGTCTGCTCCTATTTGCAATCAGTGTAGAAGAGTTTGATCGTCCGTAGTACCCCATTTAGAAACCACACGACGGGATTTTTGTTTAGGGAGGACAATTTCCTGAGATCAGGGCTGCGAAGGGCCGGTGGATTGAATTCTATCAGTGCCCCCCTAACGTTCACTGGTGACCACGGAACTCTCAAAGTACACCTCCCGCTAAGCTCTCCCCTCTTGCTGGTTTGTTGGTGTCTGTGAAGTAAATGCATCCTTGAAACAAGTCAACCAACCTTGGTACAAGTAAGTAAACAAGCTTCTTTGAGTATTTTGCCTGAGACAATCTGTAAAATATTGATATGGTTCTAATTTCCAGGGGAGCAACAACCCTGATTAAAATCAGTTGTCAGGCTGATAACTGAACTTACTAACCAGACATCATCTACTAATTTGATGGTTGTTAGTGGAGGTCACCTGCTAGTATTGCTTGATAAGCTTTAGAGAGAATTTACTTTGTGTGGTCAGGCCCTGTGCTAAATGCTTAGTTTTCATCAGTACTTTTAACACACACACATACATCCCATAATTAACCCCTTGCTATATTTTGGTTAATCCCACGTTTGATGTGTGTTTTGACGATGGGTTGAAATGCCTGAGAACACCCCAGATGATCCTACTATTCCAGGCTGACAGAAAAAGATAAAAATTTTAAACCCACGTCAGGTTTGGAAGGTACAAAGCAATGGCAGGCTCTAATCTCTGAAAGACCACTATCTTGTAACTAAAGGCTTTCTTCCTGGTCTATTATTTCAGTAAACACTTCTAACGAAATATTTTAATTTAGAATTTCGACATCTCCCCATTAAGCAATCTCAGCCTTTCAATAAAAAAGCAGTAAGGAGACATCGGGTGAAGGATGGATTTGATTAGGAAGGAGGAGTAGGGATGGTGCCTATTCTAGGAACCTGGACATGGGTACTTTTGGGTAAATGAAAGACATTCTCTCATAAAACCTCCGTATGCGTGCTGTACAACTGAGGGAAAAGGAACAGGGAGAACAGGCCAGGGCACCGTGACATTACTACTGGATTGGCCATTATCAGCAGAGAAAACCAGATTCCTTCCAGGATTCCAGTTTTCTACCAAACTCACTCTAATTCCAAACTGATAACACTAAATGTATGACGTCAGGCATAAATCCAGACACTAAAGACAGATGGGTAAGAATGGGAGCCACCTCAAACAGACTTATTAATGGCCCCATCCTTTTATTTTTATTTTTTAAGATTTTATTTATTTGACAGAGAGACAGCGAGAGAGGGAACACAAGCAGGGCGAGGGTGAGAGGGGAAGCAGGCTTCCTGCTGCGCAGGGAGCCCGATGTGGGGCTCGAACCCAGGACCCTGGGATCATGACCTGAGCCGAAGGCAGACGCTTTAACAACTGAACCACCCAGGCGCCCCGGCCCCATCCTTTTAAATCAGACACAAATCAACATATTAAGTATTTTGCACTTGGCAAAGCAGAGGCATGGTCAAATGGCCTCGGTCCTCCCTTATGTATAATAATGTGAGGACTCAGATCCCATTGCCTGTGCATTGGCAACATGCTCAGCACTATAGGTTATTATTTCATTATTAACATGGAGAATGTCAGCCCGTTGTTACTCCTAAGTATACTGACTACGGTCCCATTTTATTAGTTATCACAGATAAAATGGAAAGGGGGAATAGTTCTTCATAAAGCATATCCTGCTAAACATAAAGTGTAAAAATTGGTTAAAATAGAGAATTCTTAAAACCGTTTTAGTGTAAATTTTAGATATATGGCTTTCCTTCCCTTTAACTGTGAATAGAAGCTATGTGTATAGATTATACTACCACATTCTACTTATACTGGAAAGATCCCTGAGTTCACCTTGCAGGTGAAGTATGGTTTGCCAGCTTCTATCGTTCCTCAGCAGGTGCACCTGGATTCTTTTGAGCATTAAGTCGGTCAATGTTATCTGTGAAATCCTTACCAATCCAAAAACAGTTTGGAGAATGAAATTCCTGAAAACATTTGGATGTGGAAAGGTTATTAACAGGAAAGAAAATAACCTTCGGGACTTACAGGAGGACTTAGACGTTTACTGGAACTCGGGGGTCGCTGTGCCCTAGTGCTCCAGTGGCGGGTTTTCTAGTGTTCACGCATAGTTCCTGCACAGCGTTCCCACACAGTTCCCGCATAGTTCCCGCACAGCGTTCCCGCACAGTTCCCGTTCCCGCACAGCGTTCCCGCGTAGTTCCCGCATAGCTCCCGCACAGCGTTCTGTTAGTTTCAGGTGCACAATACAATGATTCAACGATTCCGTGCATTTCTCAGCGCTCAAGTGTACTCTTTATCCCCTTTAGCTCTTCCACCCGTCCCCCCATCCACTTCCCCTTTGTTCTCTGTACTTAACAGTCTCTCTTGTTCGTTTTGTTTCTTAAATTCCACATGTGAGTGAAATCATATGGTATTTGTCTTTCTCTGATTTATCTCACTTGGCATTATACCCTTTAGGTCCATTCATGTTGCTGCAAATGGCAAGATTCTATTCTTTTTTTATGGCTGAGTAAGATTGCATTGTGTATATATAGCACATCTTCTTTTTTTTTTTTTTTTTTTAAATTTTTTTTTTTTTTTAAGATTTTATTTATTCATTTGAGACAGAGAGAGAGAGAGAGAGAGAGAGAATGAGCAGGGGGAGAGACAGAGGGAGAAGCAGGTTCCCCGCTGAGCCAGGAAACCGATGTGGGGCTCGATCCCAGGACCCTGGGATCATGACCTGAGCTGAAGGCAGACGCTTAACCATCTGAGCCACCCAGGCGCCCCTAGCACATCTTCTTTATCCATCTATCAATGGACATGGGTTGCTTCGATATCTTGGCTATTGTAAATAATCCTGCAATAAACCTAGGAGTACATATATATTTTCAAATTAGTGTTTTCATTTTCTTTGGGTAAATACCCAGTCGTGAAATTACTGGATCATATGATAATTATGTTTTTAATATTTTTTAAAGATTTATTTATTTTAGAGAGAAAGAGAGTGTGAGTGGAGGGAGGGGTGGAGGGAGAGAAGCCGACTCCCCTCTGAGCATGGAACCTGACTCAGGGATCAGTCCCACCACCCCGAGGATCATGACCTGAGCTGAAATCAAGAGCTGGATGCTTAACCAACTGAGCCACCCAGGTACCTCTACTCTTTAAATGTTTGGCAGAATTCACCTGTAAAGCCATCTGGTCCTGGACATTTTTTGGTTGAGAGTTTGTTTTTTTTAAATTATTATATTATTATTATTTTTTAGAGATAGAGCGCCTGCACATGTGCAGGTCAGGGAGGGAGGGAAAGAGAGAATCTTAAGCAGGCTCCACGCTGAGCATGGAGGCCCACACAGGGCTGGATCTCACAACCCTGAGATCATGACCTGAGCCGAAATCAGGAGTCAGATGCTTAACAGACTGAGCCACCCAAGCGCCCCTTGTTGAGAGTTTTTTTTTTAATTACTGATTCAGTATCATTGCTAGTGGCATTGTTGATGGGATAGTGGTGAGCAAAACTGCCTTCCAATTTCATTGCCAGTAAGTGGTCTCTTCAAATTTTCTATTTCTTCCTGATTCAGTCTTGGAAGGTTAAGTTTCTAGGAACTTACCCATTTCTTCTAGGTTGTCCAATTTGTTGGCATATAATTTTTCATAATATTCTCTTGTCCTTTGTATTTCTGGGTGTCAGTTCTTTCTCCATTTCTGATTTGAGTCCTCTCTTTTTGATGAGTCTGGCTAAAGATTTCCAATTTTCTTGATCTTTTCAAAGAACCAGCTCCTTGTTCCATCTGTTCCATTTTTTAGTCTCTTCATTTATTTCTGCTCTAACCTTTGCTTCCTCTACTGGCTTTGGGCTTCCTTCTTCTTTGTCTAGCTTCTTTAGATGTAAGGTTAGGATGTCAGAGATTTTTCCTGCTTCTTGAGGCAGGGCTGTGTTGCTATAAACTCCCCTCTTAGAACAGCTTTTGCTGCATCCCAAAGATTTTGGACCATTGTGTTTTCATTTTCATTTGTCTCTATGTATTTGTTGATTTCCTCTTTGATTTCTTGGTTGACCCATTCTTTGTTTAATAGCATGTTATTTAGCTTTCATGCATTTGTGCTCTTTCCAGATTTTTTCTTGTGGTTGATTTCTAGTTTCATACCTTTGTGGTTGGAAAAAATGCCTGAAATCATTTCAACCTTTTTGAATTTATTGAGACTTGTTTTGTGGCCTAACATGTGATCTCTTCTGGAAAATGTTCCATGTGCACTTGAATGTGTATTCTGCTTTTGGGTGGAATGTTCTGAATATATCTATTAGGTCCATCTGAGCCAATGTGTCATTCAAAGCCACTGTTTCCTTGTTGATTTTCTGTCTAGGTGATCTATGCCTCGATATAAGTAGGGTGTTCAAGTCCCCTACTATTATTGTATTACTGCTAACTTCTTCTTTTATGTTTGTTAAATTGCTCTATATATTCCGGTGCTTCCACGTTGGGTGGATGAATTTCTACAATTGTTACATCCTCTTACTGGACTGTTCCCTTTATCATTATGTAGTGTTCTTTGTCTCTTGTTACACCGTTCATTTTAAAGTCTATTTGTTCCAATATAAATATTGCTATACGAGCTTTCTTTTCACTTCCATTTGCATGGTAAATGTTTTTCTATCTTTCCGCTT